CATATATGTCAGATTTGTCAGATTTGTCGATCATCTGCGCCACGTAGGTCCTATCATATTTTATTCGTTCACAATATGATTTTTTTAGTAAAATAAATTTAGATTTAATATTAATTCAAAAATTTTTTTTTAATTTTCTTTTTATTGTAAAGCTCCTATATTATTCTCAGTAAATTATAATTTTTCTAATAAAATATATTATTCTTAGTAGACTATAATATCCTATCATAATCTAATCTAAGTTGTATACTATTCTTGATAATATTATATTAAAGAATAATATATCATTAAATTAAAAATTACATTATATAAATTTAAATTTATTTTTAAAATACTTTATTATATAAGAACATTTCCAGTAAATGAGATATAGTAAATCTTATAATTCATAATGTGATTTTATTGGAAATACTTCCATATTATTAATAAATTTTATATTAATATATATATAATTAAATTACTAAAAAAGTATTATTAAATTCTTATTAAAAATGATATCTTAATATATATTAATTTTAATAATACAATTAATTTATGAAATTCAATTAATAGTATTATTATATATTAAAGTTTTCTATTTTATATTATATAATAATAATAATATACAATATTATTTAAAAGTTTTAGTTATAGTAACCTAATTTCATAATATTATGATAATCAAATTACATGACTAATATAAGCAATTGTCAGTGTCTATCACGATCATATAAACTTTCAATGTGAAAGTACTTTTTGCATTCTTTCTGCTGTAAACACAAGAATTTGGATACTTTTTCTTAAGGTACCTTACCACAAACAGTTACCGCAAACACAGAGTCGGCACATCCACATCCATATGGGTTTATACATTAGCCGGGCGTCAATCAAAACAATCAAAATAACGTCATAATTTCTAAACTATTTCATTAAACTAACCTTTTATAATCCATTTTTATATTTATTATCGTTACGTAAATAAATAATTTAGGCTGATTTTGTTCGAGGGTTTCTTCTGATGAATTCTTTGTCCTTTTTGCTCGGAACGAATAATCAAGAATATCATATGATTTTATGAAATAAAAAGAGACTCTACAAATAATTATACGATTGATACAATCATTAAAATTACATTCCGAATTAAGTAAAGATCAACGATTTGTCGAATTAGTTAATAATTTTTTTTCCCAAAGCACTTCATATGCATAATGCATTTCGTAACAAGTTATTAAACTTTAAGTCACACGAATAATAAGCTTTGGATTAAAATGGAGATATATGACGCATAAATTATTTCGGAATTTCGGGGAAAATACTAAAATTTAGTATAAATTTATAATAAGTCGGAATTTTATTATAGATTGACAATGGAATGATAAATGATAACCTTAGCTTTTTAAAAAATTTCAATTCTTCTCCTCTTTCTCTTTTCTTCTCTAACTCTTTCTATTTCTTTCTCGCTTTTGCTCACTCCACGCCTTGCAAAACGTATACGATAATATAGTTTAACCCTTCTTTCATTATTCATTGAAAAGAGAACGAGAAAGAGAGAATTGTTCGTTTGTCCGATTTATTTTTTTTAAACAAATTTAATATAATATTTAATTTAATTTAATTTAATTTAAAGCTTGATACTTTCTTGAATTAAATTATATATGACGAGATTTCTATCTATGGATCACATTACAGATTATATTACTGTGAAAAAAATAAAAGAACATATTAAAAAGTTGGTATGTACATTAAAATAATTAATTATAACAATGAACATTTATAATAATTCGAAAAAGAAGAGATATTAACTATAATTTTTCTAAAAATATATTCAAGTACGAAAGATTTACTGAATCAAAATGGACACAATATTTCATTATTACCTCCATTATTCAGGCAATTCTTGCCATAATTTTAATGTCCAGAATACTATACAGAAATACTAATGCTAGAAAAGAATTTGATAATTATTATCACGATGTAGGAGACGAAATAACAGAAACCTGTTCAAAACTTGTCCTTGACAGGATAGGAAATATAGTTGGTGAAAATGTAATTTTCCTCATATTTAATATATTTCAATTTTGGTTTTGTCAGAATGCAGTAAGTTAATTTATTTATTTTATTTATTTAGCAAGTGATTATTATATAGGAATTTATATGTTAACTATATATATCTCTAGATTTATAATCAAAATACAATACAAATTATAACTATCGCAGTTATCAATTATCTGTGCGCGCTTGTTGAAATAGTTCAGATTGTTGAAATTGATAGATGGACAACTCAAGCAGGGGAATGTCTAAAAGGGTTCAAAACTGATAAAAATATTGAATCTTACGAGGTACCATTGATAATAATACTATTAATATGTGCAACTTTACAAGTTTTTTTCACGTGGAGATTATATGGTCAATTTGGCTGGAATATTTATAAAAAAATTGGCGCTGACCTTAGAATGCAAAGTAAGTTCATTATAAATTTAAATATTTCTATTCTTCGCGTATAAATAATTAAGCAATATATTGACTTTTTTTTAATAGGACTTTATCGAACAATGTTAATTTTCGTCATGTTTTTAAAGATCGATCTTTTCTTTATGAGTTATGTGGCTATTGAAGCCTGTACAGTAGCAGCTCCCAACCGTTTAACCGATATGGGATTATATTACTTTCACGTCTGTATAACAATTATAATTGTTTTATTGCAAATACTTGCTTATCGTTCGGTAAGTAACTTTTATAATTCTTATAATTTCTATAGATTTTGTTTAAGTGGTTAATTAATGTAATTTGAAATTATTAGTTACGTAGTGAGTCTTCTTTAGGAATGAAAATCTTTATTGGAGCTTGGATAGTATGTATTGCCGACTTTATAATATTACTTAAATTTTCAATTAAGCCTTCTAGCGATGAAAGTTGGTACTTTTTCACCGCCGTTAGTAAGTAAAAAAAAAATAATATATATGATATAAAGATAGATATTAAAGTAATCTCTCTAATCATATTTTCTTCTCTTTCCTCGTAGTTGTTGTTGGGCTTGTAATGGGTTTGGTTAGTATATTACGTGATAGATGTTTTAATTGACAATTACAGGATACTTATACATAAATTTTTCACACAGGTAACGCTATTATGGGCAATATTTGTACTAAGAAATTTTGGTAAAGGCTTAAAACCACATCGTATGTATCATTTAGTATAATTAATTAAGAAACGAAATATGTTCATTAAACAGTTATTGTTTATATAGTTTCTAGACAATGTAGTTTACCTATTCAACGACCACCCGACAACATTGAAAGCTCATCAGACCCTGCTGCACTTCGCCCAGGACATGGACGTTGGGCAATCGATGATTAAATGAAAGATTTTCATTTTAAATGTTACAAAAGGTGCAGGTTCACCCAAAATAAAATAAACAGCCAAAAGGGTAAAAAAAATAAAATAAAATAAAATAAAAAGGTGATTAAAACATGACCTTTTTTTTGTAATTTGATGAAAAAATTTTTTTATTTAATTTTGTATTATTCAAAGATATAAAGAAATATATAGAAAGGTTATGAATGTAATTTTTTTTATATATATATCTATTATTAAAATGTAATTTTTATATCGAAACATTTAATTGAATTTAATTGAATCCGAAGAAGAAATAAAGGATTAAATGAGCGATTAGGATCGTTCTTTTCGCGTTATGTAAATATTTTGTAAATATATGTGATCATATATGGCGCAGCAGTTGTATTTTTATGATGTAATATTAAAATGATAGCTTATTAATGAATACATCATATATATTCTGAAGATATAAATACTAATAATTTATTATTAATAAACTTCATTATCCTTTTCTTCTTCATTCTTTACTTTTATTTTTTCCTTAATTTTTCAAATACGCACAATCATAATACACTTGGTAACTTTTGGATTAATTTCTGTAAGATGCCTCCAAAGAAAGATACAAAGGATACAAAGACTAGTAAGAGTAAAGAAACAGGAACGAGTATGTAAAAAAAATTTTTTTCTTTATATTATTCAGAAATTAACGTGTAGAGCTATCACTGATCCATTTTATTACTTAATAGCCAAGAAAGCGCCAACTGCTTACAATCTTTTTATGAGAACTGAACTTCCTAAGGTCAAAGCCGAAAATCCTGCCATGGATCACAAGGAAGCGTTCAAGCGTGCCGCGAGCAGATGGAAAGATAGCGCAGATAATCCAAAGGTGAATATTTTTAAGATTAATTTATCCTTTAATTAAGTAATGGAAAAAACTTTCTTGTTTATGTTGAAATCCATCTTTCTTTTATAAAGAATAAATCTGAATAATGGTGCCATGTGAGTCGATAAATCATACGCGATGATTCTTTAAATGTTGTAAGTATCGTTTGAATTTATCTTCACTTATAGTTTCGTCATAAAAGACGCGATCTTATTCACTTTTTGCATTGCGATTTTAGCTTCTTTATATTATCTCTTTTTCGCTTAACTATTTACAGAAGATTATATAAATTACTTCATGATCAATTTTACAGAAATAATTTATTGCTTATTGCAAAAATGACTATTTACAGTAAAAGTAGTATATTGGTAGCTAAAAGATTTTACATTGATTGAATAAATTACTTTTACCAACCCATGTTTGTAAATCTGATTATGTAAGTCCGTGACACGAGACTATTTTTTTTTAATAAAATGGTTATTATTATTTGATCTTCAAAAATAATTTCGCGTCTCTTTCTTATTATATCTTTCAATAATAAAATAAATAAATGAGTGAATTAGTAGATTATGAATTATCGGATAATGAAACTAATTCAAAACAATTAAATGAAATTAGTCAAGAATCAAATTTGTCCCTTGTTGATTATTTATCGGATTATCATTTATCAGATGAAGAGGAGCAAAAATATGAAATTGATAAAAAATGGGAGGAGAATACCTCAAGAGAAACAGTACTGAAACGTAAAGAAATTTATGATTTGGATAAAGAAAGCACTATAACGAGGTAGATTTTAAATTTATCTATTATTTTAATTCGTTTCACTTTAATATTTTTTTATTTAGCAAGAAAAGAGGATCGATATTAAAGGAATTACCACGAAAGGATTTACCACCGCTTCCTTCGGACTTTTTACAGCTGTATCCAGGCAAGTAAGTGTGATTATTTTAATTATTTCCTTGAGATTATTTTTAGAGATAATTTTAATTTTTTTTTTTTTTTGTTATCCATCCTTTAGATAAAAAAAGAAAAGACTATTCTAAACATATTGATGATCCATCATTACATCAAGGTCGAATAAGAACTGTTCCGCATATTGAGGGTAATTGGGCCACTCACGTATATGTAGAAGGTATGCATGTTTAATGTATTCCAATGCTCATTTAAGGTTACCGTTTCTTTATTGACACCCTTGAAATTTTAGTCGTACTTACCGAGGAAATATATCTTATTATAAAAAAAATTATAAAATTAACACAAGCGATTGTAAATGAAGACGGTGTTAAAATTTTTTCATGTATTGAAAAACATAATGTCAATGATGACGTTGATGAACTTGACGATAACGATTATTTTGAAGAAACTAAATTGCATATTAGTTTATCGAGACCTTTACTTTTAAAATATCATCATATTGATAATTTTTGGACAAAAATAAAAAAAGGATTTCTTAATAGGAAAAGGTAAAAAGACAATTTTCAAATGTATCAGTGATTTTATTTATTATATTTTTTATTAAAATAAAAAATTTTTTTTCCTTAGGTTTTCTTTGTCATTTGCCGATGTTGCTGGTTTTTCAAATGATGATGATACTAGATCTTTTATGGCTTTAGAAGTTGGTAAAGGATCAAATGAGGTATGATATTATGATATCATTGGATAATCTTTGAGATTAAATTAATATTAATGTTAAAATTTTATTAGTTGAAATCGATGGTTAATATTGTTAATAAAGTGGCCATAGACTTTCAACAAAAACCATTTTATGAGGTAAAACCCATTAATTTATTTAATCTTCCTTTTTTGTTATTTAATTCAATTATTTGAACTTTTTTTGTTTCATAGAATCCACGATTTCATGCGAGTATTCTATGGGCTCTTGGAGGATCAAATATAGACAGTTCTTTATGTGATGCAATTAAAGAGACAGAATTTTTTGAAATGATGACTCAACATATTTTTTTTATAAATTGTATGGTTTGTAAATTTGGAAACAAAACGTATACTTTAGATTTGACATGAGCCTAATGAACAATAAATAGGTGTAATAAAAGTTACTTATTTATAAATTTTTATTTTCATTTTTTTTGAAATTTATAAATGTTAAAACCATACTCAAAGTCGTGGTGATCTTGTCTCACCCAGGCGAAAATTCCAAATAAAAAAATCTAGCCAATAGAATCAATAGAATTATCGATTAGATGAAAAAAAAAAGGAAACATATTTTAGTGGAGAAGCTGGGGATCGAACCCAGGACCTCTCGCATACAGGGCGACCTTGCAAAGCGAGCGCTCTACCACTGAGCTACATCCCCAAGTGATATAAATTGATAAAAATAATTATTATTTATTATATTAGATATTCTTTTTATAGGAGGATTGGCGCAGTGATTTTATTATTCATTCATTTTCAAAAATTAAAATGCAATAAAAATAAAAATTTTATTAAAAAAATATATTTTTCTAACAAATATCCTATATGATTTTATTATAAAATTGTTAAAATTAGATTAAATTTTATAAAAAAATACTTATAAATAAAATAATTTGCTTAAATACATATAAGATTTAAAAATGATTAGTAAAGAAATTCAAAAATATTTTAATATTTGATAATAATAAAAAAAATCTGTATATAATATTTTAATAAAATTTATATAAACATATGAAAAATAATTAAAATAATTTTTAATTTAATTTAATTCATAACTTAATTTTTTAAATATAATTAATTTAATTATAAAATCATTTAAAATTTAGTAAAAATGTATTTATATAGTATAAAGAATGTATTAAGATTAAAAGTGTATATAATTTATGAATTTATTAATATGTTATAATAAAAAATTTTCAAAGAAACTTATAATAATTTTTTAATTATGTTATCATTATAATTATCTATATAACAAATTATTATTAAATTCTTTATATAGATTATCAAATATATAAATAGTAAGAAGATTTTATTAAATAATTTTTTACTAAATTTCATATTTTTGATTCACTTGTTTATTTTATTGTTTAATATATTTAGTTATTTCTTATTAAATTAAGATTTTAATTGCATTTGATTTAAACTAAAATGAAATAAGAAATATATTAATTTAGTCAAAAATTTAGTTCATAACCATATATTATTTTTATGGGTTTTTTTTAATATTAGCAATATTTTATTATAGAAAAGGATAATTACATTATTGTTTATATTAAATTTGCTTTAAATAGATATTAATATTAATAATCTGCTAGCATTTATGTATGAATAATCAAAATTTTATTTGTTAGTGATTAAAGTTAGGCTGAGTCGACTCTAAAAACTACAAGGAAACGACTCCGAAATTTTAGCAATGAACAGAGTCTCTGTTCTAAATTTAATATTATGTCAGAACATCGGGAAATTCTCAATCAAATAAAAGTTTCAAATTTTTTAGACAAATGGGATTCTGATTACTTTATTTTTGGCTAAAATTTATAATTATCTACTTTTTGCAACATTAATTAAATTTAAAAATTCGCGTTGAATATTAATTTCAAATTGAAAGTTGCGATTCAGTTGAGTCGATTGAAGAGTCTAACAACTGACTGAACTGACTTCAGAATTTCCCATGGCTGGTACTACTAGTTATATATTATCACTCAGCTGGTCATTAACATTATCCAATTTGTATTTATTTTACACATTTCTCCACATTGAAAAAAATACTTTTATTATTAAAAATTAAGTGATTATAATTTTGTGTTTTTAATCCCAAAATTGGAATGTTCATATGGATAGCTTGATCACTTCAAATTATGAGGTTCTGTTAGCAATTTCCTTCTATCTGCCTAGTACAATAAATCAAATATACAAATCGATATACTGTAACTTACCTTGCATCATCAATCAACTACTAAACGAAGAGTAATCCAAAAATAATATTTGAAGCATGCTTGCCTTCGACTTCTTTATATATGCTAACAAAATTTTCCGATTTCGTAGATGTTCATAAATATATCGGACTTATGTTATTCTCGTTATATAAAATATATCGGCATCTTGATATTCGCATTTCTCATCTTATTTTTATCACTTGCCTCGAAATCTTGCGCAAAAGAATTTTTCCTATATTTTCAGATCTAATGTTCAAAACTTAGTAGTTAAACGTTCAAGTAATTTATAAACTGCATTTGTAAATTGTTGAATTGCAAGTATGATTGAGTTTCTTATGTAAACATTTTTTTTTGGTCTATGTGATAAGGACATAATTGCGTAAATTTGATAGCAAGATAAAAGGATTGTGTGACCGGTATATTTTACGATAGATTAGTGAAACAATATGATGCGGGAAATCGCAATAGATTCGTGTAATACTTCCCTTGAAAGCATGTCATATATTTTCACTTGCTACATTAATTTATACAGAAAAAAAAAATAAAGTTCCTAGATTGTAATAAAACTTTTATTATACTATTATTTACGTTTATCAAATATAGCGTTACTACAATTTTGAGCAATTACGTGCGTGATCTATTCTTCTCCGATTCCTTCTTCAGTTTCTTCTTAGTGGATCCAAACACTTTTACTGGTTCTTCCTCAAATTCTTTATTACGCTCTTCATATATACATTGTCTAATTGCTTCTACGGGTACCAGACTGCCAATTCTTTCTATGTTTCTCTGGCTGGTAAAGACAGTTTGTACCTTCTCTCAATTCGTTCCCACATATTTCACTCATTGCGCCATTTCGTTCCATTGAAACTAAATATTACGATAGTTTAACCATTCTACAAACATTGGATGAACAGAACACTTCAAAATTTATACTCTAGGAACTTCCTTTAACTTTTTGTATTTGTTCTTTTATATTGTGCAAGGTTTAGTTAAAAAGATCCAAGATATGAATAAGCGATTTCACTTTGGCGCAATATTTTTGGTGAGGGCCGATCTTCTGTCCGATTTGATTATCTTCTGCAGTTTATGGGGCAGTTTGAAATATTTTCCTTTAAACTTTTGTGACAATTATGTCGAGATAATTTTTTGCGAAAAGTTGATTAATGATATTACCGCAGAACGTTATTTGAAAGAGTTTCTGAAATCCATATTTCCAAGGAAGCGGACAACCTGATTAT